TTTGGGACTTTGGGATCTCTAGGTCACGGAGAAGCCGCAGGTGTTAGCGGGGCTCCGCGGAGTTCCTGGGCCCCCGGCCGCGTTGGGTGCGGTGCCAGCCGCAAGTACCACCCCGTGACTTCTCGGCCTGGATCTCGGTGGAATGCAGGTCCTTCTTGGACCTGGTTCAGAAATGACACTTGGCTTTCAGGAAGGTGCCCGCGTTGACCTCGCCGGTTGTGCAAGAAGGGGAGAGGCTTCGGGGGCCCGGAGAGACGTTCCGTGGCTCACGCGGTCCGGCCCTGGCCGTGCCTTTGCCCTTTAGCCAAGAGGAGCCAGGCCCAGGGACACGCTGAGCTCCGAGCCGAGGCTGGGAGCCTGACCGTGGGCTGCGGTTTCTCTCCCCGGCCGCGTCTTCGATTCAGTTTTGAAGCGGTGAATCCTTACCACCGTCGCCCTCATCGCTATGTGTTTGGACCCTATTAGACGCCTTTATTTTCTTTTTAAAAAAATATGTTTTTATTGATTTTTGAGAGAGGAAGGGAGAGAGAGAGAAACCTCAATGATGAGAGAGAGTCATTGATCGGCTGCCTCCCACACGCCCCCGACCGGGGATCGAGCCCGAAACCCAGGCGTGTGCCCCGACTGGGAATCGAATCGCTACCTCCTGGTTCATAGGTGGACGCTCAACCACTGAGCCACGCCGGCCAGGCTGTCAGACACCTTCCTATCAACATTCAGCCGAAGAGCTTAAAGGCCGACCTTAGCATTGAACACGCAGTTTAATTTCCTCTGCAGCGTCCCTGTCAGTGATACTAATAGCTGATATTTGTTCAGTACTCTCCATAGGCAATGCTTTATGTCCTGTTTATCTTGCAAGGTGCTGGGAGACAGATGCTATTGGTCCTGTTTTACAAATGAGGAAACAGGCTCAGAGAGGCAATTTTGCACAGCTAATAAGTAGCAAGGCTGGGATTGGAACCCGGATGGTCTGGCTCCGTAAGAGCCACTCCTCAGGCCCCCCCAGGGCAACAGGGAAGGTGAGGACAAGCTGAAGGCTGGACTGGGCTTTGGGAGAAACAGCTGGACCCCCAGCCTCCTGCTCCATGGGGTTCTCAGAACCTTGGCCAGAACCCTGTGGGAATCCCCTCTGGATAAAGTCAGTGGCCCTTGTGAGAAAAGGTTTCTGCAGGTTGTCATCGGGAGCCCCCAGCCTTAGAGCCTAAGGCGAAACCCACCAGTGTCCAGTCTGAAATCGTAACTGAGGGTGGACTGTCCTTGCTCCCACATCCTCAGAAGATGCTTAGGGAGACCAGAGAACAGGGGACTTGGTGAGGTGTGGGCCAGCTTCGATTACTGTTGGATGGATATTCAAGCTTAAAAAAAAAAAAAAATCAAACTTTCAAAGCTTTTGATTTTGTTTATCTGCAGATTCTGGCTGCAATTAAAGACAGGAGGGCAGTGGCGATAAACATCTCAGACAGAACTGTGTATCTGCTGCCCAGAGCAGATGGGCCTCCATCCAGTTATCAGTCTGGATCTTTTCCTAAGAACAACTTACCTCTCAGATCTCCTTTCTGCTGGGAAGACTCAAAGGGCTTCTAGAGAAGGGGAATATCAGGAATTGGGGAGGAAGCAGAGTTGGGACCACCGATGGGTGGCGTCGTGTGTTCATCCATTTATTTAGTTGATAATAGTGATCGTTGCTGTTATTTAAAGCAGATGTTATACATTTATTCTGCATGTATTTACTGAGCACCTATGATGCGTCAGGCAGTCTGCCAGGTGTTCGGGATATNATAGTGATCGTTGCTGTTATTTAAAGCAGATGTTATACATTTATTCTGCACCTATGATGCATCAGGCAGTCTGCCAGGTGTTCGGGATACGCGGATAAATAACATTTCTTATATATTTAGTAGACAATAGAAGATAAATATCATAAGCAAGCAAAATATAGGAGGTGAGAAGCTGAGTACGTCTGAGTCCTCTAAGAAAGCAATGCCAGGACGGGGTAAATGTGTTGGATTTATTAGCAGAATGACCGTCTGAGAGAAAGGGAGGTGGCAGGAAGACTCTGGAGCTGGGGAAGCCAGGGGGGTGGTCAGGCCCTGGGGCAAGTCTGACCGAGTGAAGGAAGGAGAGAGGGAGGCTGAGCCGCGAGGAAACAGCCGGCTAAGGGAGGTGGCCAACGCCACGGNGTCAGGCCCTGGGGCAAGTCTGACCGAGTGAAGGAAGGAGAGAGGGAGGCTGAGCCGCGAGGAAACAGCCGGCTAAGGGAGGTGGCCGACGCCACGGAGTCTTGGCGCCCATGTCAGCCGCCAGAGAGTCCAGTGTGTCCCAGGAATGAGCCTGCGTTAGGGTGCTGGCCATTTCTTGGTCACTGGCACGGAGCAGCCCCGGAGAGGAAGGGTCTTGGTGCACATACAGGGATGAAGCTCACAGCTGACAGCTGAGACCCTTGGCCAGTTATGCTCCTGGAGCTGGATGCCTGAGAGGCACATTCTTAGGACAGCCCTGGTGATAACTGCTATGGAAAGAAAACAGAGCAAGGACTACAAACGGGCGACAAGTTGTATTGTAGAACTGGGCCATCCGGTGGCCTCAAGGAGAAGGGAGCATTTGAATAACAAAGCCTGGAAGGGCCCGTGGGCGTTGGCCACGAGGATACCAATGGAAGGAGCATATCAGGAAACACCTGCGCAAAGGCCCTGAGGTGGACTATATCTGGCGTGTGTTAGGAGCAAGGACAGGGTTGATTAGACCAGGAGGAACGAAGGGAATGTCAACAGGTGATGCGGTGGGAAATGTAACAGGTTTCAGCTCAGGCAGGGGCTTGTAGGCCGTCGTAAGGACTTTGGCTTTTCCTCCGTGTCGGGTAAGAGGGCAGCGAGGTGTTTGGAGCAGAGAGGTGGCACGACTTAGCATGCTTTGCAAGGATGGGGCAGGGCGCCCGGGTGGGAGGCTGTGGCCGTAACCCAGTTGAGAGATGACGTCAGCTTGAGCCAAGGTGGTAGCAGGGGGGCACCGTGGGTGTATTTTAAAGTAAAATCAACAGGATTTCCTGAGGTTACATACGGGGCTTGAGAAAAGAGAGGATTCACGGTAACGCTAAGACTCTTGGGCTGAGCAGATGGAAGCTGCCATCGGTTGAGGGAGGAAAGTGGGTGCCGTTCCACGTGGTTTTGTTTGTATTCCAGGTGCTCGCAACAGTCCCGGTGCCCAGTGGACACTCAGTGAATAGTCGTTGAATGATGATGGTTTTTACCTATTTGCTTTTCCAGTGTTGTGCCAGGTGCTTTGTAGACCTACTTCGCCAACATCAACGCTCGGAAAGAGTAAATAACCTACGGAGGGGCTTCAGATCCAGTGAGCAGGGAACCAGGATTAAACCTAGGACTTTCTGGTCCCCATATGCCACCTGACCCCTATTTTTGCCTAGTTGTAGGGAGACACCACAGCACAAGGTTCAACGACACCCATCACGACCTGCCATGAATGGTACCTGATGCGCGAACNATTTTTGCCTAGTTGTAGGGAGACACCACAGCACAAGGTTCAACGACACCCATCAGGACCTGCCATGAATGGTACCTGATGCGTGAACACAAGCGTGATCATTCTGATGACTTGTGGGGTGGGTTAATAGGTTTTTTCCCCCCTTTTTTTCCCCTTGGGAATTTGTTTAAAGACTGTAACTTTTCTGTGAGTGAGGCATTTCGGGGGTACACCATTAGCCCCCCGCCCCCCTAAAGAATTCCTCCAGCAGACAGCACATGTGCGTGTTAATCACGCTGCTTTCTCTGAACACCACACAGCTTTTTTGCAGTTTCAGTTTCCTAGAATTCCGACAACTGCTGCATTTACTGAAAAGAATATTTAGCGGAACCGATGGGGCCTTTTGGAGATAAAGGAGTCCGCTGTTTCCTGGACACAGCCTCAGGTATCCAATAGCTTATAGAAATAGCCACAGATAAAAAAACCCCCCAAAAAACCTATTAACAAACCAAACACACATAGCAAAGTAACCCCCCAACACCCATCAAACAAAATGAAAGCGTCCGGTGACTGATTTCCCTCCTGTGCGCACAGCAGGAGAAATAACGTGGAGCCTCTCCGGGGCTTGGACTTGGGTTTCCTCTGCCTCACCGGGCAGGTG